TTCGCAGGCGTCGCATGATATACGGTAAATTCCAGAACAATCCAATGCCTACCCTCACATATTGCGTCGGTAGACTTGTGAAAAGTATTGCTTTTTCTTTTATGGTCACCCGAATATTCCATTTCCTTGATATTAACCGTAGTTTTTGAGTTAGTTCGTAGGAAGGTACGCATATCCACTTTTGTGAATCCTTTATCGTCCTTTCATAGTCTCTGTTCTGTCATCGGCTTTTAATGGCCTGTATACTTTTTTGTATTATTTCGCTTAGGTAGCCATTGCCGAAGAATATTCGAGTCAATTTGTCCAAACCCTCGTCTCAGAATTCTATATCCGTTAAGCGTAGGCTTCGGATGATCATGCTACTCATTATTCATATCTTTAGCATGTAATTATGATGGGACCGAAAATTAAGTATTATCGCAGCATAGGACTTATTTCTGAACAATTTTTTTTGAGCGTCCTATTAAAGCGAATAACTTCAACGTCCAAAAACGGTAACCGGTCACTTTCCTCTACTTCCATCATGAACTTAATTTTTCTATCAATCTGGTTAACAAAGTTCAGAAACTCTTCCATGTGACCAAAGTGCGAAATAATCATCCAGGTACTGCATGAGCACTGCCGGTTGTAGCGGTGCCATGTTGAGGCTCTCATCTATTTTGTTCATGTATACGTTTGCCAAAAGTGGTGAGAGCGGTGATCCCATGGGAAGTCCAGATATTTGTTCATAGATGTTCCCATTAAATATAAAATAGGTGGTCCTTATTGTCAAGTTGATTAGTCTCGTTAACGACTCCCTCCTAATCCGTTGTGATTCCAGGATATCCTCCTCTTGTTCTAACATTTCCAGCAGGGCCGTTAGAGTAATTTATCCAGAGATATTATATACATGGACTCCACCTCAAAAGATACCAATAAGTCCGTTTATTCCAGTGCCATGTACTTGATTTTTTAAGAAAATTCATATGAATGCTTCATTGTGTGTGATAGCCTCTTATTGAATTTCTTGAGTTTCAAACATAAACTTTGCCAATTTGTATGTTGCTCCATACTTGTTGTTGACTACCAACCTAAGTGGCTTGCGTTCTTTGTTTATATTCTGCAATCAGTAGACTGTTGGTGGTTGTGCATCCTTTTTTATGATTGAATTTATTGTCCATGCGTCAATTTCCCCGTTCCTATGCATATCACTCAGCATGTCACTTAAGATTCAATTAAGCTTCATAGTTGAGTCCTTGTTTACTATACGATATGTGATCCTGTCTGGTATATGTTCCACCTTCTCGGTATATTTTTTTGTCCATTATCGCTGTCGTTCCTCCTTTATCCGCCTAAAGGGCTAATTTTTTATTCGTTTCCAGGGTTTTGCGTATCCAGGCAAATCTATTCCTGTGTATTGGTTCCAACACAGGAACTGGGATTAGAACCAAGTGAAATCGGTCAACTATAAAGATGCGGAGAATGGCAAAACTCACTGATGATGTCGACTACGATGCCGGCGAAACGTTTGAGAATGTACCAAGTCCACTTTCTGCTGCTGAGAAGCATGACAACTACTATGGCAGAGGACTTCGGACTAGGTGCGTTCTACTAAGTCTCACGGACAACAAGGCCAAGTTGCGACAAAGAGATCAACCCACTCTATGATGTTTCTTTATCAAGGATACTAATTTAAAAAATAATGACTTGACCTAATTTTTATAACTTAAGTATGTTGTTGGGGGAAGGGAGCCTGTTTTCGCCTTTTGGTCCTGCTATCAGAGAGACTAGATGAGCTTACCCTGTCTGAAGTCCTCTGTCATAGTAGTTGAGATAATTTCCAACGTCGCACCGTAGATCTGGTGCATTCCCAGACGTTACGTTGACATTATCAGTCAGTCTTGCCAGTCTTAGCACAAAGCTTCAACTCTTTAAACATACATATGAAGTCCATCCTTTCAGTGCACAAAAGACTTATTTCAACTCATACTCGAATCTTCCTTGCGTTCTATAAAATCCATTTCTTATATATAACAGAGGACTACGGAAAAGAATGATTCATCTAGTCTCCCTGAAAGCAGGACTAAAAGCAAAAAATGGACACAGGCTGTTTCTATATAGCGAAATACGGCGACTATAAATAGAGGATATCAATTTGCTCTTATTACATATACCTAAAATAATTTCCGTCGAGAAACAATTCATCTATGGTAATTTTTAAAAAAATTAATAAATACTTCTATATTCAAACCTTTCTTGAAAAAATAACATTTAACACTAAACTAAGGTAAATGCGAGATATAAAGAGGGTGTTAAAAAAGTGCCCTAGGTCTTGGGCTATAACGACTCAATTATAGGAATAACGAATGGGTATAAGGGAAAATCTAAATTTATGTCGATAAAGAAATTCATAAAAGAACTTAAAATAGACCATTCTGCAAAGCTTTACCGAGAGATGATTGATTATCGTGACTAGTTTGAATAGATTAAAAAAGTAAGCAATGAGTGAGATCTAAGGATAACTAAAATTATAGGATGAAGCGCTTTGTGCTTTAATTTTATAGACCCATACAAGAAAGAACATAGTGAATAGAGGTAAAATTAGGGCGGACATAGGATTCTGTAAATAAGATGCAATCAAAGAAATTAAGACATTTGGGATTATTGGATAAAAGAAATTCAAATCAAGAAAAGTTCATCAAAAGTTTTTTGAAAACAGTTTTAGAAACCCAAGGAATCATTGTAATAAATTTTATTTAATGTAATTAACAAAAATCAACAGTAAATTGTACATAAAAACGCCATAGAAGCTTCGCCTTAATAAGCCTATGGTTATATAGCAAAAAAGCGCTGATTGATTGTCCTACATGGTAGCAGTGTTAAGTAAAAGAATTATGATCAAATTTTGCCGGAAGTAACGCACAATGAAACTATTAACTATTAAACAACAAGATTGTAGATTTATGAATGAGTAAAGAAAAAGAAAATGTTAGTAGAAACTAATAAAATAAGCACGTACCATGGATACGAGCAAAACTTTTGGTGATAATGGCCCGTCCTCCTAGATGTCTTGGTTCTAGGGCAGCATGCTCTCTACTGGAACCCTCACCATAGTTTTCATCGCCCACCACACACCAAGGTATGCCAGCTGCCTTAAAGGCTCGCGCAACAACAGGAACGCTATTCCACTTGCCAGAGGGACGGTGCAGAACCTTGTTAACCTCATTGTTTTCTGCATTGACAGCACTAAGGGTAAATTTACAGAAAGGTGTAATGGGCAGTGTTAAAGTTCGCATATAAAGAGATACAAAGTGATAGTCGCTAAAATTGAGTAGTGAACGACCGAAATAACATTCTTGTGTATGCCTTCTTGGAGTACCTTTCATTTCGTTTGAAGAGGCGAGTGGATGGGATTCGATACATAAGAGATTATCCGAACACAAAACAACCTGTAAGGGTATGTGGGTCCAAAAATCCGAATTGGACGAATACCTTGCTCGCATAGGACAGCAGATAGATTGGTCTAATGTCAAACGCTTAGCTGGATATGGAGACCATACCAGTAAGCGAAAGATTAGGGAGGCCATAGAAATCAATAAAACAACTAAAACCCTGAATAGGAATGAGTATAGGAAGTTAAGCAGAAACTACTTATGGCTGATAAACAGGCTTAGCGAAAGAGAGGGAGGAACAACAAGTACCAATGAACAAAAGGAGGCCTGATTAGGCTGGAATTTGGTTCTGATTTTCACATCAAACTAATTACAAGAGCAATGCACTTGCACAACACGTGTGCAATAGGATGCAATCACATGCGATAACATTGAGGGTTCAAAGGCATAAGTGTTTTAGGGGAGGATGCAGCTGTTCGGTTTCAAATGCACCCATTTCATCCTTCATCCATAGCCACTCCACGTCATCCACAGCCACTTAATTAAACTTATGAACAAATATAGAGGCAAAGCATAGGACATTTAACCAAAACATGATATGTATAAGTGAATCAAATTGGAATATAAGAAAGAAGTAGGTTTGAAGCCGGCCACCTTTCTTGTCTTCGTGCTGTTCGTGAATTATCGTTAACTATGATGTCCTGCTCTGACGATGTCTGTCGTATGGAGGACGAAAGCTTAGCAAGGATTCATCAGGGTCGCAGGGCGGTGCGCAGAGGACCTATTCGCACAAATCTACAACCACAGCCCCAATACAATCCCTCTACAGCATCCGGTGGGACCAACTTAAGAATCCCTTCCACTTGCCTCTTCAGACGAGATGAAAGGTACTCTAACATGAATATATTAAAGGATTCTTTGAAACCTAGTTTTTATACATACATGCGTATAGTTTGTTTCCTAGCAGACGATTTTCTTTATAAACCCAAAGATTCTCTCTGTGCTATTGACCAACAAATGTTTCACTATATTTCACAAATAACTGAAAAAATCTGACTGGAAAAGGTATGAAACATCAGAAAATTTTAGGATTATGAAAGTGTCAACTATTGGATTTATACGGGACAAATAGTAATGATTATTGAGCTGTAATCTACGAAAATTAAAAACTTTATGAGAAATCAACAGTTTTTATATCCTCGTATATTGTGTACATACGGAGACATAAAACGAAAGGACGTAAAGATAAAAACCAGAAATATTATGAGAACATTCTAAAAACAGCAGTTATAATTATACTTGTATTAAAAGCCCTAAAGAACCCTATAAAACGAGTCATGAGATCGTATGGCCTATTGGCATTGTGTTGCAAATTGCTGTTTGAATCGCATTAAATTAATAGTAAGCCATCTTTATTGTTGTTCACTATATCGGAAGCTTCTTTGATGCAAAAACGGTTGTGGTATCTGTCATTCTGTCCTGGTGTATCCACCTATCCTATATCCTCGTAGCACCCCTTACCTATCACAACTACCTATTTGTTTACGTAATCCTGGTTCTGGGAGTTTATCGCATATAATGCGGCAACTGTGAGCAGAAGAATATTAGAAACACGAAGAAAAATCAGTCTACTAATCAAGGAATATCAAAGACTCTGCAGAAAAAATGGATACGTAAAGATCCGAAATAGCTAAATAGATTCCACATACGGAACACAAAATCGTCTGAAAGGCATATGGTAAAAATAAAAGAAAACGCAATATTCCAGAGGCCATCGATATCCTGACCTAATAAACAGGAAATTTGAAGAAGACATGATTAGCGAAAACTTTGCGTATTGTTTAAGCAAACTCGGAGAGGATCATGGAACAGCAAGATCCGCAATATCAGCAAAAAAAAGACAAATTAATCAAGAAAATATTTTGAGCATGATGAAGAAAAAGAGCGAGGAAGCTACAGAGAATCAATTAAAAATCAAAAGGAGACGTCTCAGTGAGCCTAATCAAAACAAGTAGAAACACAATAATTGGGAGTTGAACAAAAGAGACTAGGGCATAGGATGCCATATATATGGCATTATGGATAGAAGTACGATAGCTGCGGAGACTAGATACAGTTGACTAACAGTCGACGTGTTTGATCATTGACATGATCTGTGAAGTAAAGGCTTGACCATGAGATTTACTTGGCGCACATGCCGAACGGTGATAAGCGAAGCTACAGCCCCAAGCTAGTTTCCCATTCAGCGTGAGGATCCAAACTTTGGGGGCCTGCTCAATGAGGCGGGAGTATACGCATTGTCAAAGGCTTGAGGCAGACCGTAGAACATGTCTCGAGTAGTATGGATATGGTGATAGTGACCTGGTGAAATCAATGAACCGAGACGGATCCTACGGCGACAGAGACTCTAATAGGATCTGGAGGAAGAGGATTTCGGACCAACAAGGCAGACTCAGATCAACACTCTAAACAAAGTGGGGGGATGAGAGAGCCAGTGAGGAGTGTGAATAGGTCTCAAAAAATCCGCTCAGAAAGGCAAACCATAACCAGGTTTAAATAAGAAATAGGTAAGGGGTGTTACTAGTATATAGAATATGTGAATACACCAGGACAGAATGAGAGATACCACAAATATTTACTATACAATTGGTCAAAGGATCGACTTCACTTGTCTCTGACGTGTCGTAATGTGAGGCTAAGAATGGTTAGGCTCACTGACGTCTGGGACTGTATCAAGTCCATGGTCCGACTCTAGAAATTATCATGCATACTATGGACTCAGGACAAAATGGGTTCCTCTAGGTCTCCTTGAAAATACGACCAAGTTGCGAGAACAAGATCAAGCAACTTCTGTACAACCTTCGATTAAAATATATACAAATTAATTTTATTTTGCAATATAAATTATTAAAAAACGTTGTCACGCTAGGTGACTTAGGTGATGTAAGGACTGATAGCTTTCCCACAATGAGATAAGAAGACCTCATAATGTCGTTACTTTCGCTTTACCTTGCCTTCAAAAAGGTTATCTCATCTAGAGACGACTGCAATCTCGACTTCGCTTGAGTCTCATCAACATGCCTAACGGGATTCGATAGCCATAATGACGTTACCATTCGACTCCCCAGCTACGGGTGCCAGGGGTCACAGGGCAGGTGTAGGGCTCAAGGTAAGCCAGGTGTAACCCAACTCACATTTATAATGCAAGTTTCGATTGAGCAAACATGTATATTTCATTAAAATCACCAATACTTACTTTCGCTTAATTAGGCTTCGGGACGACCAGTAATTCTTGAATATGAACTTATTCATCCTAGATTGCTTAAGGTGACACAACTGATAGTGTTGGTTTGTTCTCCTTTGTACAACTTGGCGAGAGCGACTTCTGCGTCCTATCACACCACTCACGATAATTTCCAGCATCTGACCACTAACTTTGTACATTCCCAGATGTTTCACCGGCATCGTAGTATATACTGAAACCAAACATAAGCCCGCTCCATGTTGGTCTTCATATTGTCAACCTACAGATTGACAACAGAGTCTTGCCACAATGAGATGAGTAAACGTCACAATGCCATTGAATTTCACCAACAATAATTTTTGAATAAAAAATCAGTCATTGTTAGAAAATTCAACTATAGCCCCTTGAATTACCCTAAGTGACCTAAAGTGACTAAGTTCTTATTTAGGAATTATTGAGTATCGAAAGCTACTTATACCAGAAATAAGCAAGGTCGTTAACTGCATGGCAAATACACATGTGCTTATTCGACAATTCCACTATGCGCGTGATTTGGGTCAGGGCATAGCTTGCAGTGAATGTCACATTTGCTCTATTATCCATTGGCACTGTCGGGCGTGGTGGAGTGGTATCGTCACCACGATACTCGTGACCCAGTATCGAATCCCTTTGGGGATATTGAAGTCCAAGCGAGGTATGCATTGTAGTCCATTCTAGGTAAAAACCTCTTGGAAAGCAAGACTAAATGAAATCCAATGACGTCATGAAGCCTATTAATCGTTTTATAGAAGAATCAACTATTAGTGCTTAAGTCAATTTTTAAGTGGCATAGGGTCACTACTCTTTTGCTCATAAATTACTGATAATATCGAAGCCAACTTATTCCAAAATTATAGCTTAATGACAATATTAATATTTTAGATTATAAAAGGTTGTTTTCCTTGCTGTCCTTTCTTAAATGTTCATTACATCAAATATTCGTAATGAGAGAATACGTAAATTTAGTAGTTACCCAATGAAAAGATTGTTAGAGATGTTGTCCAAGTGTCCCCGATACTTCAACCATTGTCCAGCAGCAGAAATGTGATCGGTAGTACACTTGCCTTTTATCTTGATCAGAATCGGCATGTCATTTATATCTTTACCATCCCATTTCGGAAAGGCAGTAAGTAGTTGCAGCCGGTCACTTGAAGGGCTGACATTTACGGTTAGAC